AAATGCTGACAGAAAACCATGAAAAAGAAATTATAAAATAGATAACTGGACAAAAACAAAACAAAAAACCTTAGTTCCTTCTAGCATAGGCCTACCAGCAGAGCTAAAAATGTTTGTTTGGAGTTCAAGGGCCTGATGTTCCTGCTCATCATCATTATTTTGCTGAGCTTTTCTTGATCTTATTGAATTAAGCAATAAGGGCCCCATCTGTTAAATGCTTACTTCTGCTGAGTGTGGTACTTACTTATGTGAGTACAACAGTCCCATTAATTTAACTGAGATTAGTGCTAGTAATAAGCGCTTGCATCTGGTAAGAAGGTTTTGTAAAATCTGGCCCCAAGACATCACTGTATTACTGCATGCAACTACATTTAAGTACAGTTCAGGCTAGTCATAAGGCCAAAAGTTTCCACACACAAAGCTGTACAATAATACACCCTTTCTCTGGCCTTTTTGATATATTGCTTGTTTTAAATACATTTAAGAGATAACTGCTTGCACTAGCTATTTCCCCACTCAGAGAAAGCTTGAGAAAGAAGAAATGAAGAGAAAGATTGACAGTGTATGAATAGGGAGAACAGGATATTTTCTATGATTCATCTCCATATTCATTACACTTTTAAAACACTAGCAATGTGTTTGTAATCCTTAGCTTCTTCAATGAACTTAATGTTTGAAAGCCCACACACAAGAACAGCTGATATTAATGTAAGGTATCTCACACATGCACAGACACACGTCAGCTAGCAAAGTTCTGTTAATTTTACACAAAGCATTTCTATACCTGCTTATATCTGGGATCTGAGAACTTGCATCTTCACTAATATCCAGACCAGCAAAAAGAAGATTACTGGGCCCAACTCCTTGCTGGGGTTCCCCTTCCTTGAAATCAGACACTAATGACCAGCTCTCTCTGCCAGAACTGGAGCAGGAAAAAAGAGAAACACTCACTACATGGGTTTTAAGAAATATATTTCCTGTTATTTATCTCAAGATAACAAGAGTCTACCAACTTTTTAAAGAAGATTTTCAAAATGTGATCACATTCCTTCTGATAATTTTTAAAATGTAGCACAAATTCAGGTTGTACCTCCTGCTCCCTGAACCAGCACCCTCAGGACCTGAATCAGGGAATCTGCCGGACCAGGAGAGATCAGTGCTGGCCCCTCTGCTGCTGCCGGTTGTGGGCCTCCGCTCTGGTAGCAGCAAAGGGGCCAGTATTGACCAAGGAAGGACTGGGAGGCAGGGAAGAGGCAAGGGGAATGTGGAGTCCTGTGGAAGTGCACCAAGCCCTGCAGCTGCAGGGCTCCACAGCCATCCTGCCTCTTCCCCCGAAACATTCTCCCAGCCCCACTTCTCTCTCTCCCTCCCTCCCTCCCTGAGTTTGAGCACCACAAATGAGCTATTTGAGGGGCTCCAAAAACTCTGGGAGGGCAAGGAAGGAGCTGTTAAGCATGGGACCTGGCTTCTCCTGTGAGTGCTCCAGTCTGGGAGCACCCATGGGGATGCTCAGTCACAGATGTTGCCGGACTATAGAAGTCCAGACTATAGAAGACCTGTACATCGACAGGGTCAAATTCTGTTCTCGTTATCAGCCAAGCAACTCCTTCTAAAATCAATGCAATAAACCAAGACAGCATTTGACTCATATACTTTATACCAAGTGAATGGGATTTCTGGATATTCATGAGAAACCTCACCAAATGATGGTAGGCAAGACCATTTGCTAACCCATAAAAAGCCACAGGAAGGTCACAGTCAAGCAAAAAATGTCATAGCCTTGTTTCCTACATATTGTCTCCTCCTGTGAATAGGGTCTGGCCAGCAACAAAAGGACAAAACGCCACCCCTAAGATGTCCTGAGATCTGGGGGTCTCTAAAAAACCCCATAAGGGACAGACTAGATGCTGGGAGAAACTTCTAGGTCTTCTCTGTCTCAGTGTAGTGGCCAAGACCTATCTGAAGACTGGCAGCCATGGCTTAATGCTCTGGGGAAGTTTGAGTGGAAACTTGCAAGGATGGCATTCCTCTCCAGGTTTGCTCTGGGGTATGTGGGCCGGGGCGTGGGGAGGAGATAGTCTCACAATATTTCTGCACACCAGCTTAGTCTGAATGGACCAATTAATGCACAACACAAAAGCAAACTTTAGAAATCACACACATGCACTCCATCCTAGAGTACACTGACAAGCCTTGAGCAGAGACTAGAACACAGATTTCTCTGTTCCATGATTCAATTACAATACCATCTTTCCACTAACCTTATAATATTGTTATGTATTTGGGTTGAAAGGTCCCACACATAGGAACTGTATTGGGGTTTTGTATGTGCTTTTCTTAACAGTTTATAAATGCTGAAGCTAAACATAAAAGATTCTTTTTGATAACTGGAAAGAGAAAATACATTTCAAAATAATTCTTTGGAGCTAGGCATGAAGCAGCTGAGGCTATGTCTAGATTGCAGGCTTATTTTGAAAGCTTTTCCCACAGAGATCTTCAGAAAAACATTATTCCGAAAGAGAGCATCCACACTACCAAAGCGCATCGAAAAAGCATTCTGCTTTTTCGAAATATAGCATCCACATTGATTGGACGCTATCTTGCATTTAAGCTGTGATTACTATGGACAGAGTAGCCACTAAGGCACCTGTGCTTTTTCCTCTTTCCTCTTCTTTTGAAAGAACTCTCTCTTCCCCGTCCACACACGCCTTTTTCCGAAAGAGTTCTTTCAAAAAAACGCTTCTTCCTCTTAGAAAGAGGTTTACCAATGTCAGAAAAACTCCTCTGTCCTTTCGATTTTTTTCGAAAGAATGCCATTACAGTGTGGACGTAACTGGAGTTTTTTCGGAAAAATGGCCGGTTTTCCGAAAAAACTCTGTAGTGTAGACATAGCCCAAGAGAGCAAGATGGAACTGCCGCATGCAAAAGATCTTGGAAGTTATGATGTTATAGATATGGGTACAAACTGTTCTCCTCAACTCTAATGAGCACCACTAATAAAAAGGCTGTAAGATGTAAGTTTCAAATATATACCTCTCACTTCACCAGTTTATAATGTCAGTAGGCTGTAAAAATGTGCTATTTACCAGGCCAGTAACTACTAATCCCCATCTCACACAATTTCTTTCCCTCTCTTGCTTCATTTATCCTAAAATACACTGAGCTTTAGCAACAGGAAATTAAAGACTCAAGGCTGGGCTTGCCCATATTAATGTATCAATGGTAACATGTTTCTAGTAACTTACAAGAAATTGAAATTTTCATTAGTAATCTCAATCAAGTGAACTCTATGATGATTAAACAATCATGAACTGACTAAGATGCTGTATTTTTTTCCCTAGCGGGAGAGAGAATGCATAACTGCATGTGGTATGTGTGAACCACAATAATAAACAGAGAGGAAAAACGTGTCTTTGAAATTCTCCTCCTCCTAAAGTTTTCATCAGCAACTTAAGTTAATGTTGTCAAACTAGTGTACATGACATATTTGAGGCCTCCCTGATTTTGGAGATACATATAGACATTTTGTGTGATATTAGGAACTCATCCAAGAAATAACATGTTTTCATGTACAGACCTGGTCAACAATATTAAAGTGATTCCACATGGGACAGACACATTCACGCATCATTATAAAGTGCAACACTTCATCAACTGAATTTTGTTTCCAAGAACAAAACTGGGAATTTGTCCACAGTAACTATGTCTATTTATTTATTCAACTAATTTTCGATGGAAACTTTCTTATTAAAACCAGTTTTGACTGTTGATGCCTTTTCATGCTGCTTGCCAGTTTTGCTATTTCAATGATACTCTAGGGGCAGATATAGAATATGTTGAAGAGTTTTGTCACAGACGCTTTCAGACTTAACTCTCTTACATGTTTCGAATAACTTGTATAGATATGGTTATCAAAAATAAGAGATATTATTCTTTGTCTTTATAATGTTGTGTGCACTGAATCATGATAATCAATGGAATTTTAAGCCTGTCCAAGAAAACAGCAAGCACAAAGACAGACGCCAAACAAATTTAAAAACCGGTCTCCCCTGTGTAAACCTTTTTCCTATAAAGTTAGTTCCCTTGGCTACCGTCTTTGGAAGTTGTCAGTGATGTCCTTAATGCCTGTGCTTGTGGGAGTTTAAATCCAGACAGCTGTATGACAATAGTGGTTTGTTTTGTGCTCACTCTCAATTTACATCATCACTTAAAGAAGAAGAAAGATGACCTAAATATCTTGGATAGTTTGGGACAGTATTGTTATTACAGTGCTTTACAGTGCTATTTTATTTGGCTCTTGCTGAGTCAGGAATCAGTTTTGAGAAATTTGTGTTTCTAAGGGGTTTCCTGTTAAAACATATTTGCTACCACCTGACTTTTGTATTCTAAATGTAATTCACAGTCAACTTACTAATGTAATTATTTATACAGTTATGAGATATACTGATTACATTAAGAGTAATTTTTGCTAGTTTTTTTTATTGCTGTCTGACTTTTAAAATTAAATCGAATCATTTGCCTTGGTATTATAATAAATAACACAAAGGGCCAAGTTCTGAGAGGCTCTGAAAACAGACATAATGCCTCCCAGAATGTGTATAGTTAAACACTAAAAAAGCACCATATTCTGGATAATATAAACTGATGTGCAGTTCCCTCACATACACTGATTCTGCTATGGTTTGTCTGCGTTCACCTGTTCTCTCTTAGCTTGTAAGCTCTTTTTTGGTCTGTGTTTGTATGGTATTTAGTACAATGGAGTCTTGGTCCATGACTGGAGGGGCTCCTAGGGCCTACAAGAATACAAATAAATAGTAATAATAAAAAAAATATTATAGTAATTGTAATAGCCAGGGAGCTGTGAGCAGGGCATGAGGGCTCCATAGGACTATGGGCATAGCCACAGAAATAAACTGACAGGTTTCAGAGAGATAGCCATGTTAATCTGTTTCAGCAAAAACAATGAGTCCGGTGGCATTTTAAAGACTAACACATTTATTAAGATATTAGAGCATAAGTTTTTGTGAGCTACAACTCACTTCCGCAGATGAGCAAGGAAGGAAAGAAGGAAGACCATCCACAATGTATGTTGCAGAGGATCTGCAGAGCTGCCTCTCTCCAAGGCTGTGTCTATACTGCACTCTTCTTGCGCAAAAGCCTATGCAAGAAGGCTCTTGCGCAAGAGCTATTCTTTCTGAAAAAAAGAACAACTCTTGCACAAGAGGGGCTTTTTGCACAAAAAGGAGCAGTCTACACAGCTCCTTTTTGTGCAAAAGCCTCTTGAGCAAAAACGTCCCCTAATTAATCATGCAAATGAAGCATGACAATGTGCTAATCTGTGCTTCATTTGCATAGGCTTTTGCGCAAGAAAAGTGCAGTATAGACGTAGCTTAAATCTTTCACAATTCAGGCCAACTTTTGTTCTGTCAAAAAACAGGATGCATGCTGGTAGAGGCTGGAATTGGGTACAGGCAGTCCCTGGGTTACGTACAAGATAGGGACTGTAGGTTTGTACTTAAGTTGAATCTGTATGTAAGTCGGAACTGGCGTCAGCCACTGCTGAAACTGATCAGTTTCAACCGCGGCTGAATCTGGACGCCAGTTCTGACTTACATACAGATTCAACTTAAGAAACCCAGGCGTCCCCAAGTCAGCTGCTGCTGAAACTGATCAGCGGCTGATTCCAGGAAGCCTGGGACAGAGCAACTCTGCCTCGGGCTGTACACGAAAATAATTCCACCAGATTTACAACAATTACAAAGTATTCAGTATTTTGATGTGCCAAAAGATAAAGCTACAACACCATATTCAAATCAAAATTTAAGATTGGGAGGAGCTTAACCATAAATAATTCAGACATGAAGCACAGGTATCAAGCACCTTAACAGCAAAGGAAGAATTTTAAATACAATACTCAACAGTAAGTGTAGCCATTATGACTGCATAAGCACTAAAGACTCAATGTGACTTGAGCAACATTAAATATCAAGGGAGCTGCACAGTTCTGAACAGTTTGCAAATGGGGAAAAAATGGACACAAGATGAAGGTCATCAAGTCCAGTCCCCTGCCTTCACAGCAGGATCAAGTACCATCCCTGACAAATTTTTGCCCCAAATCCCTAAATGGCCTCCACAAGGATTGAACTCACAACCCTGGGTTTAGCAGGCCACTGCTCAAACCACTGAGCTATCCCTCCCACCAGGGAGACGCGGGTGGTGGGACCGCCGAGACGTGCTGCGGTCCTACCCGCATCCTCCGCAGCGCGTCTGGGTTGTCCCGCTGCCTGCGTGCTCCGCGGCTTTGCTCCGCGTCTCCCTGGTCTGCTGGGGGGGGGCTCCCCCCAGGAGACCAGGGAGACGCGGAGCAGCTTTTCTTTCCCCTGAGGGGAGGGGCGGCAGGACCGCGGCGCATCTGGGCGTCCCGCCGCTCCCGTCCTCCGGGGTAAGAAAAGCCCCGTTCGTAACTGCGGATCCGACATAAGTCGGATCCGCGTAACTCAGGGACTGCCTGTACATTTATAAGACTATATAACTGCAAAAAGAATGTACTAAAGTATGAAAATAATTACTTTTATCTCTAATTTTTAATCATAATAATTGTTTCCAGTGTTTTGCCGTTTCCAGTGTTTTGCCTATCTCACCTAGTTTTGGTTAAAACATTAAACCTAGTTTTGGTTAAAACATTAAAAATGTAAAAAGCTGCTGAGACAGAGAGAAGGAAGCGATTTGGGGTGGAGAAAGAAGAACATTTATGTGCATACTGCAGGATTTAAATAATCCCTGCTCAAAAAGAATGCACCCAAATGGTGACTACTTTATCTAATTGTAAATACATTGTAAAAATCCTACCCACACACCACTAAATCCCTGCCACCCGTGTGAACAATAGATATCATTTGCACCCTGAGTCATGCTTATTTTTTGGAAAGAATACAACCTTGCTGATATCATGGAAGTATTAAGCAGTCTCTGCATTGTAACAGCTGAACACATTACTAACGTCAGAAAGTAGAATTATTAATATCAATATCTCAGGGGAAAGCACTCTTCCTGTGTTATTTAATGAAGTCCAGAATCTCTTACCCTCTGTCATCCTTAATCACACCACATAGTACTTAATTCCTTGAGTAGTCCACTGTGATTATTTAGAAAGTAAGGTACTACTCAGTGTGAGTAAGAGTGGCAGAATCTAGCCTGAAATTATTAAACACAGAAAATTATGGCCTTTCTAAAATCTTTATATAAATATATTAGCAACTGCATATAGCCATATTTTATCCCCTAAACAAAACTTCTCAGTATTTTTGTGCCCCCGGGGAAGGTTTATTAGCATAAGCATAGGAGATGAACAGTTATTATGGAAGCTAGAGAGTACTAATTTAAAATTATATATTTCATAAATAAAGATAATTTTATTTAATATTAATATCCTTTGCTTTTTTTTCTTAAGTGCTATTTTGCACAGCATCTCATTGCCCATGAGTAAAACAGATTTTAAAAACTGATAGTCCACTAAGAAAGTCAGGCAAAAACATACACACAATCTCTCAAATAACATTCTCAATATTGACCATATAAAGAAAGAAAGTCCATTTCCTACCTGGTAGCCTTTGTAATTAAGACATTATCGGGTGAAGCAGTAGTTGTAGATAAAAGATTCAAGACGTCTTGACCACCAGATCCTTCTCCACTCTTCTTTTGCTGCTTTTTCTTTTTTATATCTTGCCCATTACCAGGAGGTTGGCCTGGTTCTGGAGCCGGGGCTGAGGAAACATTCTGCAACAGTAAGGAAAAAAGCTCCAATAAATAGCTCATAATATATATAGTTTAGAGTTAGCGTGCAGATGATTTTGTAGACTATTATTGTGTTCAATACACTCACAAACTTTCAAGCAGGTACCTATGATGGAACTCAGAGATTCCATCTTTAAGCCATTTTCTTTTCCTAGCTATACATTAAACAGAGGGAAATAGTTGAGTCAAAAATAAACATAAGAAACAGAACAGGGATGGAAGAATGTAACAACTGTTCTCAAGCCTGAAGCTGCTCAGAGCATTTACTGGCCCAAAGAGAGTATCATCTTCTCTTTCTCAAGCCCAGCAATGCTTTCTCTTGCTAAGTACATTTACAAGGACCAGAAGGATGGATGAAAACAAGCTATACATTATTTATTCATAAAAGTGACAAACAATTTGCAAAATAATAAAATAAATCAGAATTAATCAGCATAATAACCAAGGCAAAATATTCAGAGCCAGATTTCAAATTCTTCTCCATATTACAAGTGTGCTCAAATCCAATAAGTCACACCTGCACAAAAGGGGTCTGAAATGTTGTCATTCTGACTTTGTCAAGGCTGTTCCCCACTCTGGCACTTTGAGTGCAAAAGGTGGGGGCCCATAAAAGACCTTTAAAATACTTTGCCTATGTGGGCTTCTGCTTAACCCTAAGGTTACAGATTCCCTGACCTTTGAAGGTATGCTGCCACCACCCAAGTGAAAAAAACCAACCCTTTCTTCTTGAACCTCAGAAGAAATCGTTTGGGAACTTCTTGCAGGGGGTTCCCCGAGCTCTTTTACCACAAGAGTTCTTGAAAAAAGAAAACAAACTAATATCTGATAACTGACCTCTTGGTCTTAGGCATGCGTACACAGACCTCCTATTACCTTCCAGGGCACAAGAATCAGATCATTAGGGTTGCCAGGTGTCGGGTTTTGAACCTGACAGTCCAGTATTTGAGCTTTCTGTTTGAGAAACAAATTGAGAAAATATAAATAAGAAAATATAAATGTCCGGTATTTTCTAAATTAGATGTAATGTAGATTGTGATGTAATGTCAAGTGTGTCCGGTATTTTTGTTGAAACCATCTGGCAACCCTACAGATCATAGACTTAAAAATTGAGATATTATTAACAAAACAAAATATATACTTGGTAAAGCACACTTGGTAAAGCACACCAGGCCAATCAGGGACGGGGGAGCCGCACGAAACTTCCGTCGCCCTGCCCCCGGCCCTGTGAGGCACACTCAGCACTTCAAAGTGCTACATGCTTCTCGCAGGCCGGGAAGAGGCTTCGCGCGCTCCCCTGGCCCCAGGCCCTGATTGGCCTGAGGGAGCGTGCAAAGCCTCTTCCCGCCCTGCCAGGGGCATAGGTGCCTAGTGGGAAGGGGGAGCAAAGAGGCTCCCCGCACTTCCAGACCAAGCATGGTCTGTGGGTGTGGAAGCCCAAAAGCATCCTGGACCCGCCCCTTCTGGGGCAGCCCGGGGCCATTCAAAAAAAGTTTGAAGAGGCCTCCGGACAAAAATTATTGCTCACCTCTGTCCTAAGTGTTACTTTGGCATGGCAGCTGCTACTTTCCCAGTCACACTACTGATGTTCTAAGAGTACGTCTACATAGCGTTGCCAGATGGTTTAAGCAAAAATAGTAGAAACACCAGACATTATATCACAATCTACATTACCTCTTATTTAGAAAATACCAGACATTGTATTTTCTAATTTATATTTTCTCAATTTGTTTCCTGAACAGAAAGCTCAAGTACTGGACTGTCTGGTTCAAAACCGGACACCTATATCTACACTGCATCTAGGAGCAAGTCTCCCAGCTCAGGTAGATGGACTTGTGGTAGCAGGGCTTGGGCGAACATGCTACAAACAGCCTTGTAAACACTGCAACTCAGGCAGAAGCTCAAGCTCTCAAGCTTGGGATTAACAACGAGTTGCATCCTCAAAAGTCATGCAGAGGCAAGTGCACATCCTTTAAGCACCAGGATGCTCTGGGATGAACTCTGCCTTGAACTCTTGATGACAAAATGCTTCTTGTTGCTCCCCCTGGAGTGGTACAGTCCAAAGGACCCAATCCTGAATTACTAACTGAATTATAAATATGAAGCCCTGCGTTTGCATAAGCATCAGGGGTAAGACCAGACTGATTTCTAGTTCTGGGGTTTTGTATTTGTATTTTCTTCATTTACAAATGAAATTGTTAAAATTGTAATTACAGAAAGACTTTGCATAAGAAGCAGCATTCCTTTCCTCATTAACACGCCGTGCTGTCACACAAACATAGAAATTTCATAGTCACAGCTGAAAGCCAGAGACTCCCAGTGGACAAAAAAACAAAACAAAACATTATGCATGTAAGAAGCAACTGAAAAGATGTGAGCATTCAGGACATACTAAAAACATAACAAAAGAAAGAAGAGTCAACATCCTTCAGGCTCAGTGCAAAAAACCAATAAGCTCTAACATCATCTTCCTATCTCTGGACAGAAAGTACACGGTTGGGATGAGCTGATAGCTCTGGAGTTGTTTATCATCTGTGTGGACATCCAGCTTGTGTGGGCTTTTCAGTCTGTCTGAGTATGTTTATGGCTCCTGTCACTACAATATCTAAGTAGCTCCCAACAGTTAAAAAGAAAATCTCCTTCTACCAACAGAGATAATGTATGAGGTTTGTGTACAAAACAGATAAACGCTGTGGTGTATGTATATCCACGTCTGCATGTAGAATTCAGTGAGAGAAAGGAATATGGAAGATACAATGTTTTGAATTTAATTCTGGAAGCTGTAACCTCTAACTTCATCACATCTCTGGCAGGAGCAAGCCTGCGTCAAGGGCAGGCAAAATACAGCCAGCAGACTATATCTGGCTTGCCAAACCACCAGATTCAGCCCACTGCCACCATCCTGTGGCGCAGCAAGAGCCTCAGGCAGGCTCCCACCCAAAGTGGCCAGCTGTTGGAGGTATGTACTCTACATGCTGCAAGCCCCTGGCAAGCTTGCAACTCTCCTTGGACAGAATTGGACAATGGGAGCTGTCTGGGCCATGCTTGCAGCGTAGACAGTACATGATGCCTCTCCACCCAGGAACTCACAGCACTCAAGAAGCACATGGCCCCTGGAGCTGGCCACTTTCAGTGGCATGCAGGTGTGTGAGTCAGGGAGTCTCCCTAAGGGTCCTGCTGGGCTGCTGGCTAGGTGATATGGCTTCATTTCTACATATGATGAGTTGCAATAATCAAAGCCTAACCACAAATATGAGTATCACAGTAGACAGCTCTCTGTCCAATAGGATGGAGCGTAATCTGGCTGTCAGTATTTTCTGCCACCACAACAATTAGTGCTCCCAGTAATAGAGAAAAACACAAAAGAACCCCAAGGGAACAGACTAGTTTAACAGTTCTGTGCAGATGCTTTTCAGCAGTTTAGGGATGTTACATAGGAAGTTAGTTCTTTAAGTACTTTCCCCTACTTATGACATCACCTTAATTTTTCTTGGGTTCAATTTTAGACAGCTGCTTTATCAAGGTGCTAATGTCAGCTAAGAAAGCTAGGAGACGGAATGCTCTATTAAGTAAACAGAAGTGGCTATTGTCTGCCGGCACTATTGTCCGCTGGACTGTGTAATCTCCCCAGGCTCCCTATGCCTTATATAAATGTTGAGCAGGACGGGAGAGAGGAGTGAGATTATTGCTATTCCACAATAGTGGGTACTGGATGTGGAGAAAGCTGCTCACAGTGACAGTCCAGGTTATATTGAAGATCTGAGGGAGTTGTATCTCACAAAAATGTATCCCCTAATAAACTTGTTAGTCTTTAAATTGCCACCGGACTCCTTGCTGTTTTTGCTGAAACAGACTAATATGCCAACCCCTTTGAAACAGGAAACTGTTTTTAGATTGTACTAGCTCTTTGGGCAGGGACACAGTGTCCCTGTGGATTGTATAGCACCTTACACAATGGGGCCCTGTTTCTGACTGAGTGTTTTGGCTCACTTGACAAACGATGAATAGCAACAGTCTGTGCCGGTGAACCACCTGTAGCTTTCAGCACCACATTTTCTGTTAGGATGTCCCACTTTCAGAGTCAGGCAGGTTGAGAGGAATGCAATGATGAAATAAAGCATAGACTCACTATTGTCCTGTTATCGATACTAGGGATATTAACGTGTGTTTCTTTAGGTAAATGTGTAACTGCTGAAATTTTTCAGTGGTTGCACATTTACACGCAGGGGGGCAGGTGGCTCCTCAAGAGCAGCCTCTTTCCCACCACCACCACCACGCTGCTGCCTCTGTACCAGAGGCAGTGGGGGTGGGAAACAGGCGGGAGCTAGTGGTTGTGGGGAGCCAGTTTTTAAGCCCTCCCCCCACGCTGATGACTGTATCAGAGGGAGCAGTGCAGGGGAGTAGGGGAGGCAACTCCTTGGGAACTGGTGCTTGTGGTGAGCCAGCTTAAAAGCTAGTTTTCTGTGAGCACTGGCTCCCACCTACCCCTCCCCCACACACTGCTGCCTCTGTATCAGAGAGGCATCAGCACGGAGGGGGGCAGGTGGCTCCCTGCAAGCACCAGCTCCCACCTGTCCCACCCCTGCCTCCCTGAGATACTCCCTCTGATACAGGGGCAGCAGTGCAGGGTGGTGGTGCATGTAATCGTGAGGTTTAACCGATGAGCTCAGCCTCATCGGTTATCCATGTTCACGTTTACACTTTTACATCCCTAATCGATACCTGATCCTAATTAATCTCTCTTTAGATCAGACCTTTAACTAAAAAATCTCTTTCAGGTTAAAAATTTTCTTGTCCTACTGACCTGCAGCCATCTCACTTTCAGTCCCACAGAGTAATGGGGAATGTCTCCTACACACAAAGCCATTTATCAAAACTGTTTCCTATAGAGACAACGTATGTTCTTTAAATTTACACCCAAAGCTAAGGAATCCTGACAGCAGCATGATTAATGTGACGTTAATAATACAGGTGGATCTGATTAT